AATCACAATATTGGAGATTAAAAAACACCAGAAAGCGAAAAAATCTATTGTAGAAACCACGTGTTTCCATTCACACGTCACTTCCTGGTCACTATTGTAATGCTGCTTGGTGTTTAACTCCTCTTTATCGTTCAAATTTGAATCCAAAACCCTGATTTCAATTGTATTTGTTTTCTTACATCTCAATTTTCTTTGAAGAAAGACGAGCTTTACCCAATGCGATGGTATCTCATTTTCATCGTCTCTATGATGTATGCGGAGCTGAAATGCTGAAATAACAAGGGCTATAACTCCGTATATCAACTGAACGATCAGGTACATCGCAATAATCGGAGTGTGATCGGAGGTAGTTGGCAACAGCGTGGAAATAATGGTCAGAAAAACAGCAAAGGCCAAAAATACGGTCACACAAAATGACATTTTTTCCCCTGCGTCTACCGGGATCACAAAAACTAGCATATTCAAATATCCCAAGAAAACAATGGGTAGAATTATATTTAATATGTAATACAGGGACTTTCGACGTAGTTTGATGGTGAATGTGACTTCAGATTCCCGGGCCTCTTTCTTGATGTCCGATGTCGTGTCGATTATATCCCAAACTCCATTGGCCTCAAAATCGTAAAATTGGATTCCATTCGTTGATTTAGTAATTTCTATCTGATCTGCAAAATGACTCCATGTGATAAATTTAATATCACATTTCTGTGTGTCGAATGGGAAATTGGTTATGTCCATGGAACAGCGACTTTCAAAAACGTTGAACGGCAACCAAAACACTCGTCCTTCATAATTGATTGACAGGTAGTAAAAGCTTCCTCCCAGCTCCTCGAACTTCTTAAACCCGTTTTTCAGTACAAGATCAGGCTTCCATATTTCATTCTACAATACAATACAATTTTCATTTTTTAATTATAATTGAATATGTACTGAAAGGAAAAAGAAACGCAGGGTAACATAATACTAAGTGTGTGAATTTTTTTCATAGCATGACTGAAAATCACGAGAACTAGTCAGATGAGGATCTTGGTTACTTTGCACTGAAATCAGCGTAGTGTGCTATAATCTTCTGAGAAGATTGGTGGGCTGGGTCAATATCTGTACAACTTTTTAAATTATATTTAGCGTACATAAGATTCAGAGATACTTTAAATACAGACTTCAAATGCCATTACTTTAAACAAAAAGAAAGTTTTCATCACATATATACGAGGGTTGTTAGAAAAGTTCGCAAACACATTGAATTACGGAAAATCTATTGTGTACTGTGAAGTATGACTTATGTTTGAATAAATTCCTACATTTTGTTAATTAGTATGTAAAAAATCAGGTCCATTCATAAAATTCTTGAAAATTTACAACAATTTTTACTATGAGGTCATGGGATTCACGGAGCAATCGCTTGGCGTAAGGCAACGTAACAACCAGATTTCAACCCGTTAAGTTTTGCCCAGTTCTATAAATCTTTCATTTCTTCAGATTTTTCTTATCTTTTTTCAACGTTAAAATTGAATATCTATATCAAGACATGTTACTTTTCTACTATAATGTCTTTTGTGCTGATTCGTATATTATTGAGATCTTTAAAATGTTTATGGAGTTAATCGATCAGGAGTGGAACTATGAAACCATGTAGGCACAACATCCATGCGATAAGGGGGTATTGAAGTATCGATGGAGTTAACCATTCAAAATGTTAATCCTTCTATTCTTATAAAGGTACAACCATTTGAAAACTTTGTGCTTTGTATGTGTAGGAAATTCCCGACAGCATCTTGAAAATTTTAAACTTTTTTTAGACATTTTTCTGTCTGCACACATAATTTTTACGTAGTGCAGTGCTCCATGAAGCTCGATGACGTTCCGATTTTTGGCTGTGTTTTTACGAGTTGATCATTTATAAATGGCTATAAAACAGTCATATACCCTCCAATTTTATTCAAATTTTCTCCCAATGACGTTTTGTTTATACTTTAGCGACAGGTAAAATATCATAAATCTCTTTGAGCTACAATTGTGCAATTTTGATTTTAATAAAGAGTCTTTGTGATGTAAACGTGCCGAAATGTAGCATGCTCCGTGAAGCAAGATTTATCAAAATAAAAAAGCTGTATATTTTTCAATGATCACTGGAGAGCACCAAATTTTTGTATATCTAGTGGAAAAAAGGTTAAGATTTCATCTTGAAAGTTTGACCGGTTTCGTATAAATAGCGCGCTCACAATAGAACTTGTCCGCGAACTTTTCTAACACCCCTCGTACAGCTCGACGCACTTTTTAAACTCACATAGTTTTTCGCACAAATTAAGGTCACATTGTTATAATGCAAATTGTGTAACAAAATATATTTTAAAAATGATTTATAACTTAATTTTGATTATATTCGATTACGTTGAACATAATTCACACATAATAATTAGTAGGATTATTATATACTCTTGGATGATATATTATGAGAGTCTCCAAATCGTTTTTCCATGGTTTCTTGTCAAATGCAACCGTCTTTGTATCCGTTTATTTTAAAGCATACTTTTGTCTAACCTCAATACAGAAACAGTGCAGTTCATGTAACTTCTGTATTTTCTGTACATTAATATGACACTAAGGCGCAAGATGATAGAAGCATTTTTTATACATGTATGTTCGACTGCTTTCCATGTTAAAAATATGGCATTTTTCAGGTTAACGTCCTGAAATCTAGCGTCATGAAAGATACATTAGAACGCATATTTTCAAAGTTTCAGACCTTAAATGTATAAGAATTTTCTTTTAAATATTTACAATCTACTATGTTGAAAGATAAACTATACTTAATTAACATATCCTTTCACATGATTTCTTTAAGCAGTTTTATCATGTTTTGGCGCTGCATTTCGACAAAACCACGACAAGTATGGAAAATGTGCAAAGTTCCTAGAAAAATACTCATCTGTAAGAAGTCAATTTGAACATTTCAACCAAATAGTATCAAAGAAAGTTCGATTAATTCATTTGTAAATACCTTTGATAGTATCATGCACATTTAACATCATACAATTTAAAAACTAATTTCCTTTTAGAACATTGAATTTTAAAACTTAAGATAATGATTTAAGAGAATATGTACCTTTAACATGAAATACAGGGGTATTTAATAATATAAGAGTTATGTGTCGTACTGAAACTCGATAATTTTAAGTTTTATTGATAGAATGTGACTTTAATTTGTGCGAAAAACTATGTGAGTTTAAAAAGTGCGTTGAGTTGTACATGAATAGTTCACAATATAATTCTAGCAAACGGAATGAGCAATTATTTTTCTTTTTTCCTGTGTTATCTATACATGAATTCCTAAAAAAAAGGCAGGTGTTTTAGACTTTTGGCAGAGGTAAACTTCTAAAAACAAGATAAATATCAGGGCAAAAGTAAAATGATCCTGATATAGCAATTTTCTTTAGAAAAATATGTAGAAAAGTAGTATTTTGAATTAAAGGCTCTTCTAACGATAATTGAAATTAGTTTGTAGAAAATCACAACACAATATCTATTAGGGAAAAAATATATAATTTCCCTTTCCGATTTACGAAGTGTGTCTTTTCAAGAGATAAAATTATAAATTCTTTTTTGTCTTTTAAAGTGCACCCCAGATTCTTGCCAAATGCCAATCAAAAGCGCTCTTGTTTTGTTATTTTTTCTTAGGTTTAAGAAAGCCAAATTCTTCAGAGACTCGGAAAAGATATTTGCAATTTAATGTTGAGTTTAACTTAAAAAAATATTGTACTATTAATTATATGTAAATATCGCATGTCGTTAAAGGGTTAACCCCGACTGCAGTATTTTCATTTGAAGGAAGTGGTTTTCTTTTGATAATTGTTCAAATGTCCCTTCATCAGTCGCATTCATCTGATTTACATGAATTAAAAGAAATTCAAATGACCGAATATTTGTGCTTCAAAATGTCAATTTTTATGAAAAATAAAAAGGATCTTGAAATGGATAGGGTATTTTATTTTTGGTAATATTATATATATTGGTGACATTACAACAAAATAGCCAGGGCGTCAGTTGGCCCAAATATAAGAAAAGGTAGGTTCATTAACTCAAGAAAATGACCGTCAATAAACTTATTGACTAACCAAGTCCTAATGTCCCAATTCGAACATCAATCTTAAGAAGATACGCAACGTACCTTACCTACTGATAATTTTTCAACATATTCTAAATTTAAACTTATAATACCATAACATGTTTTTAGGCAAAAAATCAGCATGCGTTACCAGGGGTTTTGAAATGTTATCAAATTAAGAAAATCTTTGCATTATTCGAAGAAAATTGTACAAACATTACGAAACTTAATTCCAGATATTTTTTTCCACCAAAATTTGTTTTAGAAGAGGTACTAGTATACAAATCAATATATAGACATTAAAAGTATTGCACATAGGTCTTTCATTTAGCGGAACTCTTTAACTCCAGGGAAGAACCCCATAATGTTCAAACTACTTTGCGTATGACCTTAAGAAGAGATTTATAGTGCTATCATTTTCTATATTTTTTTTCTCTGAGAGTCCAAATATTAAAAAACGGGCTAAGTGTTGAAGGAAATGAGTAAATATGACCTCACATTGCACCCCTCCCCCCAATATTGATTAGAATCTTCTGAAGCAATTCTTTCATTATATAATTAAATATTTTAGATCAAGGTTGGGGCTATGTCAACTATTCAAAAATAGATTAATTTTTCGCCAATTTTAAAGAAAGAAAGAGGGCGTACAAGGCGTGGGAAATCCCCCGATCTGAGGTAATATGTTTCTCAATTTTCAAAATTCACGGAAAAGTTATATTTTTCTAAAGTCATGTTCTCAGACATATCATCTTCAAAACATTTTATCATTTTATTTACTGAACGACTTATCAATTGACAATCTTTTTTTCTTCAAAGTTGACAGTTAAAGTAATACACGCTATATGAACGCCGAATTTTGTGTGAAACTAAATGATTAGTGATTTGAATCACATGAAGTGTAATGAAAAATTACTACTTTCCACAAAATTTTACTATAGACTTCATTGTAATAACAAAACAATTAAGCAATATCTGGCGATTAAGAATTCAGTCTTTTCATGAATATTGATGAAGGAAGTGCGTAAACAGTAGACCTAGATATAGACACACATGTCCACGGGAAATCACAGACAACGAGGTATGTTGCATATTGACAACAATTATTAATAAAAGGTTAATATGCGTCATAAGAGAGAAGATGATTGATACTAATTACATTAAAAGATAAGTATCATTAAGAGTAAGACGCTTATCATCCACGTCAAAAATGAGAAGTATCACAAACGACCTATACCTTGTTTTCTTGGCGCCATGTTTGTTTATCAATTTAAAAGTAACGACGGCGTCACATGATGGATTTATTCAAAAATAGCAATTTCTCTCCTATCAGGATTAAAAAAAATCATAATTGATAACTATATAACGTGTTAAATTTTAATGGTGTTATTTACAGTATTTTCGTAACTTTTATTAATAAACAAAAATATATCGGTATAAATTTCCAGTCGTATTTAAACTGGCACAAATTATAGCGTGTATACGTTAAAGCATATTAATTGGAAAATGGGTTTACCCAAATATACCGGTATAAATTTCCAGTCGTATTTAAACTGGCACAAATTATAGCGTGTATACGTTTAAGCATATTAATTGGAAAATGGGTTTACAAGAGCCATAAAAACGAATTTTGAACATGAATGGGTCAAGTTTCCAATTTTCATTAACGCTTTAATAATGGAAACCTAAATGTTAAATCTATTTCATTTGTCCACAAAAGTGGAATCTCAACCCATTCTAAATGAGAATCGAACCTTTTTGAAAAAAATGCACGCTTCAACAAACTCCTTTATTTATATCATACTGACAGACATCTAAAAAACATATACTCCATAGTGTAGTGGTTAACGTGTTCGGTCTTAATAAAAGAGAAAAAAAAACCGGTTCGGCCCTGCGCTATGGAGAGAGTTTGAATCATACGTGAAGCTTTTTCTTTTTTCAGTTTCACATATCTTAATTTAAACATGAGTGAAAAATAAATTATAAATAATAAAAACAATAAAATACAGAAAATAAATGTGCAATTAACAATATAATTTTGAAAAAATTTAACTTTTCATGAACATTTAGAATTGAAAAATGTCTTTTCTCAGAGCGGGGGATGGTTCTCGCCTATAAATGTACGCCTCCATTCTTTTATGATTTAAGGAAAATGACGCAATTCATGACGTCATAAAAAAAAGACTTTCGAGAAAATGACATTTTTATTTGAGAAATGAAATCACCAAGGGTTAAAATAAAATTTAACATATTCAACTTCAACCGAGTTCTGATTTTTGTTTTCAGAAACTCACATGACAAAAAGACCCTTTGTGGACCATTTGCTTTCCATAGGAAAAAGAATTTGCTCTGCTTGACCCCCTTCTGCATACTGATAGTCTGTATAATCTGTAATCAATTAAACAAGCAGTCTCGATCCAGGCATGATAGGTCACCTTTATATATATCTTTATTTACTTACATTTTTGGTCCAATTTATTATGCGAAGATGGATATATTATTTCTATTCTTTCTTTTAAATGAATGTTTTTGAAATCAATAATCATTATTTTCGTGAATTTTCACGTATTCTCTTTGTAGTTCTTTGTTTGAAATGGATGTTATTATACCATTCCTAGCATTAACTCTGTTATAGAGAACTACAGGTTACCTGTGGGATAAAGATGGTGTCGGTGTTGTTATAGTCAGAGGGAGTCCATCTTAACAGCTCATCGATCCATATCAACACCAGGAATCCCGTGGTAACCAGTTTCTCCTTGACCTCACTGACTTCATTGACACTACTCAAATAAAAACTGACATCGAGCTGGATTGGGTGATCTTGGATGACCGTGGGGCGGACTTTGGGTGTGTAATTATCAAAAAGGTCGCTTATAAGAGTCTGTACATTTTGGTTTGTTTGTGGAGTCACGGATGGAATAAAAAAGCAAATGTAAAGCAGCGAAATCCACATTGTGAAGTGAAGAATATCAAATTGAGGAAGTAACAACTTTCTTGTAATTTCCTAGTTTTGGCTGAATACAGTCCTGTGCAGGAGAATATCTGGTTATAATTATTCAATCAGTTAATCTCCTCCATCACCTCATTTTTATGAATTTGAAAATGTTCTAATGGCTTGAACAGTTCGAGAGACCAACATGCATCAATACAGTAATTCAACGTGAGAAAACAAGGTTTACCCGTATTCTTTAGAAAACGGTATAACCAAAGGTGTATACTCAGTTAATTCAACGGAAATTGCTGTTTACTCAGCAAGAGTAAGGTGTAAAATTTATGAATATATTCCCAAAATACAACTAAATATAAAAATTTGAAATTATTGATTAACAGTTTAGTGATGTTAGTAATTTTTATAATGTAATAATTTTCTCTGTGGACTTAATGAAAGTGGTGATTTAGACCAAAAGTCCGCAGACAAATTATTATAAGGTTATAACTTTAGTGAGAAACGCCGCAGCAGCCGTGGTCCTTAACTATAATGGTAAAAGAAGTAATTAAGCATATTATATACATCCCTTTTGTAAATGTTACATGTACATTGGGCAAAGCTAGATGTCTACTTTATCTTGTTATATATAATAGAGGAATTGTGAGAATAAATATATATGGTGACTCGAATTCATCGTAAACTGAAGTAAAAGCCATTAGAATGAAATATACATGTATGGAGGTATTGAACAGTATTTACGAGGGACGTTCAATAAATAATGTCATCGGTGCTCGGAAAGAAACAAAAAACGCTTTTCGATGATTTAGTCTTAACGATTAAACCAGAATATTTTCTTTTAATTAAAACACATGTCCATAACATTTTTATTCAATTTCTAGTTGTTTTTAGAACACATTTTTGAGTATGACCCTTAGTTTACTGGAATATGGCAGATCCTGTGATTTCCTGTACTTGTTTTCTTTCTTTCTGAAAGGTGGTTTTTCAAGTTTCGGAAATGAAACAGGTCAAAGGTTGAAAGTGCTGGCCAATGTTGTTGGTGTGACAAAACATTAACTTTCTTTATATCCCCGGAACCGCTTTACTCTTCATGGCCTGTGGGTTTGGACGCTGTCATGAAGAAATTTGATGAAGTGGATTTTTCATTCTGGCTCCTTCCTCTCATAAATCTCTCACTTTTTTTGCAAAAATTTTGTTGTTTAGACTCTTCCAGAAATTGAAATTACTCCCCCAATAAGAATTTAAACAACTAGATCACTAATGTTTAAGAAAAATAGCATATAAAACTGTTTTTGGGCTCTTGCTATTCTTTGCTCTTTTCAGGCCTTTGCTGTTTGAAAATAGCATATAAAACTGTTTTTGGGCTCTTGCTATTCTTTGCTCTTTTCAGGCCTTTGCTGTTTTGTCAAGTGTATCTCACTGTAAATTTGTTTTGAGGGTCTAAAGCAAAATAGTTCAAGTTTTATTATCTGTTGGAATTTTAGACAAACATGGATAAGTACAATTTTTTATTTTTTAAAATAATTGGCTAGATATTCCTACACGCTGTCGTTTTCACTCATTTGTCAAAATATTGGGTGACCTTTGAGTATTAAACTATTTTACTATCAAATGTTTCTTTAAAACAGTGTGAACTATCCCCAAAATGATGTCTATCAAATTTGCTATGTGTCTTAAAGTCAATCAAACATACTCAGTGATAATTTGTTGAATTTTCGCAAATATACGTTGGTTGTTGTATGTCCTTGTCGCCAAGGACGGCACCCATTTTTGATGTCCATTATTTCATTTTTGTTCATTGAAATGCACCTGCTCATGTGTGTATAAAACAGGCATTGGTCGCTGTAAATGTCACATATTTCAGTTAATATATCTTTTGAATTCTGAACAAGTTTTACGGCGGTTTTAATGGAGTGTTTAATTTCACTCTAGTTTACTGATTCTTGACTATTCATTTTAAATGCAGTGTCTCGAGTAGCCCTTGTTTTCTAGCCTCTCACAATGGAACTATGTGATGAAAGTGGTCACATAAACTGTTATCAACTCATTAAAGATTCAATAATTAGAGAAAGTCAAGCTTAATGGCATATGATTTCTATGTTGTATATCATAGAGCTGATGACACTATTTAATGAACGTCCCTCGTAAACTCAAAGGTCCATTAACCCCTTTCTCCGCAGTGACGCATATTAATGCACAAACCGTTGCCCCTCAATCATGCATTTTAACACAAACTGGAGCAGAGCAAACACGGACCTCCAAAAATCAGAGGTGGGATCGGGTGCCATGCAGGAATTAGCATGCCATGCCGACCAGTCACACCCGCCGTGTGCTCCTTGTCATGCATGATCGGGAAAAACAGAAAAGACCCATCGACAATTCAGTTTGTAAGTAATGGACTTGCAATTAGTATGAAAAAAACGTCAGCATTTTATATGCCGACAAGGCAACTGCATCGACCGTAGAACCCACGAAATGATGCCCTCAAAGAAGACCGTCGACATTCTTGTTGTTTTATCAATCCGCCGCGCCAACAACCTAACTTGGTTTCATGAATTGTACCCACGCAGAGCACGCTCTTGCACACTGAATCAACCTAATGACAAAACACCATATGCAGTTGATAAAGGTAATTTCATAATTCGGTTCGTTATTATACTCATTGTTCCCTTTCTAATTAAAAAATTCTTCAAAAATCATGTGTCAGTTTTGAATATTTTTAAAATATTTAAAAAAATGAATTTGAACTACCATATATATATATTGGATTCCGCAAATTCATAAGAATCCTTACAAAGATACATAGCGGGTTCCAGTAAATGTTCAACCAAGCCTCTTTACTCCTCACTAAGATATTAACAGTAGTGAAGGAGAAACTTCAAGAGTACTGTGCAACAGTATATTCAAGAAGTGGTGTAAATCAGATGCCAATACTTAAAAATTCCAAGGAACTTTTAGTGAAATCACAAGATTTTACCAAAATCAGTAGCTTAAAAACTTACGACTTTTCAACTTTATACACAACAATTCCCCACGATAAATTAAAATCCAAGCTTTTCGATGTCATTGACAGCTGCTCTTTCAATAAAAATGGAACTCGTAAATTTACTAACCTTGTCATTGGTCATTTGAAAATTTTTTTGTTGGAAAACATTCTGATTGCACACACAAGTACTCAGAAGTTGACATAAAAAAAATGCTTGAGTTTCTGATTGACAATATCTATGTTGTTTTTGAGACCAGGTCTTTCATCAATCTATTGGAATTCCAATTGGTACCAATTGCGCCCGTTATAAGAAGAACTATTTTTATATTCACATGAAACAGAATTTATCTAAAATCTTATGCGTGAAAAGAAGAAAATACTTGCTGTGGCCTTCAACTCGACATTTAGATATATCGACGACGTATTGTCAATTTCCAATGGAAATTTCCATTCATATGTCGATACGATATATTCTAGTGAGCTTGAGATAAAAGATACCATAGAGTCTGACATATCTGTTTCGTATTTGGAAATTTTACTGAAAAAAAAGTTTATGGTAATGTAACAACCAAGATCTTTGATAAACGGGATAACTTTAACTTTTCTATCGTCAACTTCCCTTACTTATGCAGCAATATACCTTCATCACCTGCTTACTGAGATTATACATCTCAGATAATTCGATACACAAGAGCATGCTCTATTGTATGAACAATTTCTAGAACGACATAAATTATTCTACCCCCGCTTGAATAGCGGAAGGGTATATAGTAATCGGTATGTCCGTCCGTAAGTCCGTCTACCTGTCTGTACATCCGTCCGTCCGTCTGTCTGTCTGTCTGTTACGCTTTGGGGTACCAATCTCTTATCCGCAACTCCTCTCATACCACTGAATAAAATTTGATGAAACTTTCACAGATCTTTATTGCATATTGCCATTATGCACCTCCTATTCTACTTTTTGATCCGATACATATTTTGGACATGGACACTGTCATTATATTTATATGGGAGGCGGGGGTATCATTTAGTGAGCTCATTGCTCATAATACCTATAGTTCATACATTGAATTGACGGCAGATTTTTCCGTTATTTCCGATGATGACAAGGATCACACGGCGTCAATTTTATGTTGAACGCATTCAAAACAAAAGAAAAAATGATAGAGAGAATTGTTAATAGCATTTTCCTTTCATTACAGCAATGTGTGATTATTAATTACACACATTTTGTAAAAATAAAAAAACGACCCATGAATAAATGTATATCCTGATAAAGAGACAAAAAAGACACATTGAATTGACACAATCTTGGTACGAAAATCTTGCAAGTATAACCCTTGGATTTCTGTTAAGTGTAATCATAGTTTACATTTACTGTATTTGTATTTTTCAGAGTTTACAATCATGATAAAATTGATTTCTTTTTGTTAATTTTGAGCAAAGATTTTTCAAGAAACCCGGGGTCGTAGTCTTCTTCAACAAGCGGCTTGATAATAAACACTAGTGGGTATACAGATTAGGATATCTATGCTCTCAGTAATGTATGCAAGTTATCGCACTCAGACAATCACATACCATTGTTGGGGGGGGGGGCACTTTTTCAAACATAATTTTTAAAATAATATGGGGTTTTTTGGCTTGTTAATTTTTCTCGTTTTCATAAAATTGATTTTTTTTGTCTCTGGCTGCTCCTCCTTGTTTTCAAAAATCATGTCACATCCCTGTCAATGATTGATTGATTGTGTACTGTTTAACGCCCCTCTCCAGAATATTTCACAGATATGGAGACGTCACCATTGCCGGTGAAGGGCTGCAAATTTAGGCCTATGCTCGGCACTTACGGCCTTTGAGCAGGGAGGGATCTTTATCGTGCCACACCTCCTGTGACACGGGGCCTCGGTTTATACGGTCTCATCCGAAGAACTGCCCTATTTAGTCGCCTTTTACGACCAGCAAGGGGTACTGAGGACCTATTCTAACCCGTATCCCCACCTGTCAAGCATGATAGACTAAATAA